CATTTCTTGCTTCCTTTCGCGTCCAATTCGTTCAGATTTGGTTGCGCCGCATCTTAAATGCAATTAGAGTATTCATGAAGAGAAAAAGGGCAACCGCATACCAATGAGGGGGCATCTGCTTGATCTCGTCTAAACTTGGGCTTTCTGGGAAAGTTGGGAGCTCTTTATGAATGCATGATGGACTTGACTTCATTTCATGCTTCCTTCATTTCATTTCGTGCTTCCTTCATTTCATTTTCATCTCGTCTCTTTTTTTCGCCGTTTTTCTCTCCTCGGAAGATTTTTCCCTGTCAAACGGCTCAACATCGTGATTGATTCTCGAGCATTTCACGTTCCACGTCAGGTGGATTTCACCAGTGAATTTCACAGGTGGATCGCTATCCTCAGGTGTGAATTTCTCCTTTTCTTACCGGAAATAGTTGGTGGATGGAAGTCAGTATGGAACCCGAATCGAAGTTGAATACGAGGAAATTCGAGTCTTCGTCGAAATAAGCAGAAAGAAGGGAGAAAAGAACTTAAAAAATAAATTAAGATCAATTTTAAAAGCAAAGCAGCTAAGTCTGTGCTAAATATTTAGTCGCGTGCATCAAGATCACGACTCGAGTCAAAATCGCAAAATTGGAATAACAAGTTTCTCCAAGTGGAATCGATTTCCCCCAGGGTTTCGGAAATATTCAATGTTTCACATAAGCCACGGTAACGCATGTAGATGGGGAATGTTTTAGCAATTTTTTTTAGCGAGAGAACGTGAGAGGGAGAGAGAGATGGGTAATCTGCACTAGGAAACCGGAGAAAAACAACGTTGGAAGCATTCTTGATCCATTCGCAAATCCTCTAACTTCGTTATGAGACGAGCCGTCGCCCTAGATGATGCCTTTTCTCAATCTAGAAGATACGAAAGTTACGAAAGCAACTTTCCTGTCTTTTTCGCTAATCTACTTGCGGGGCAGTGCAGCCAAGCTTTTTTTCACGTAATAATAGAGTAGAGATCCCTTCCCTGGATACCTCTCTCAGACGAGAAAATTTGCTGAACTTAAATTTTGGATCTTCTTTCGAGAATGTAGAGAAAAGCGGATTTGTAGAGAATCAGCGCAAATGTGATCCGTAAGGTTGAGCAGAGGGCGAGCACTCCCCCCCCCCCTCGTGGAATTTGTATCCATACAGTGGAGGAAAGCAAGGCAATAAGAAACCAGAAAATGAAGACAGATTCCCTTTCGACTTTAACGTTGAAAGAACAACCTCATTCAGGATTACCTCTCTTCTCTGAGCCGTCCGTGACAAAATGTCAGAGCGAGTTTTCGGTCTAGCATGCAAAGGACTCCCTCTAAAAAAAAAAAAGACATGAACACTGCTTCCAGGCTCATCGGATCGAGGGGGGACACCAAGTAAAACTTCCTCATGAGCGCCAGAGCGCAAGGAAATTTTGGTTTGCATGCGGGCAGGGTCTAACAATAGTTGGATCTCTACAGGGAAGAGATATTGACGTCTTTCTCGACGCAACGGCCAACATGAACCAACAAACCAACAATAACTTATGAAGTGGTTGAATTCCCGATACGAACATGACACTAGTCGCTACGATTTTTCCTACTTATTGACTTTTACCTCCGAAGACGCTGCACGGAGTCATCACTTTAGATATTTTTGGGAACTTTCTAGATGAAAGGAATTCGGATTTGGATCGTGATTGGACCAGAAAAACGAAGCTGCCGTGGAAAACTGGACCCTCCGATACCCGTTTGAATTAATTTCCTCTGTTCAAATCAAAGGTCAGGAGATTGCTTAGGCTCTCTATCTGCTCCCTATGCTGAAAGCCACCGTACTGCTCGAGGTGTCTTTGGCACGATAAGGCTGAAACATTTTTGGACAAATTTTACACGACACAATCGGGAGAGTTCACACTGCCGATTTATGCATTCGCGTGTGTTTACATGCGCAGGTCAATGAAGTACAGAAGTCATTTCTGGATAAAGTCGTTCTTTCTATTCCGAGGGGGAAAAAGGGACTTCATCGTCTGATCTCTTCGTGTTTCTCCTTCCCTTTTCTCCCTGTCCAGATGTGGATTTCTTTCGGGGGAATTGCTCTGCTCATCGTATCCATGGCTCTCCCTTTCTAGCGCAATCAATACTGTAGATTCTGACCCCCTGCGGATTCTTCAAGTTGGTCCCATGTGGATTCATCTAGTTGGTTTGGTGTATTTCGAGGTGGTTCTCAGGCCTTCCTAACCCGCACCCCCGCAAGAACCGCATTGGCGTGGAATGAAGAATATTGGGAGAACAATGGAGAACGAGCCGAGGGAGAGTGCGACAGCTCATGCGGCATATCTAGCTCGTCTTGGATATTTCGTTTCTTCGTCTGTCCGACGTCTCCAAGGACATGTCACTTTCCATCCCAAACTTGATTCATTCGCATTGACGCCACTGCGAGAGAGAGAGAGAGTTGTGAAGAGGAACTTATTCATTAATACAAGACTGAAATTGAAATTTCGATCGGTCGGCTCAAGATTTAAATTAAGAAGTCAATCAAGATTTGCAAATTAGGAAATCCATAGCGGAAGAATGATGGCGAAAGTTTCAGATAGGAGTGCGATAGATGGCAATTCGTGTGGACCTGCGACGATCAGTCCCTAGTTGAACCCCATCGATTTCACGTTCTTACCCTTCAAAGCAGAAACGAAGAGGCAGATGCAGCCCCCCCCCCCCCGCTGACGAGATATCGAAGTCAGAGGATGAAAAACATCTGAAGAGTCAATATGCAATGTCTGCTAAGATGCGTTATGCAGAAACGTATACGAGCATTCTTTTCAATATTGGCCAGAAAAATTCCATTCACAATTGAAGGCATTCCACCTTTCAACTTCATGCTTTCTGCACTTTTCTCAGCCCGCGAGGTCTGACGCGACCAGGTAGTCTCTCCGTTTCTCTGTCCGGACTCGAAGGTGACGCAGTCTTCCCTCTCGTCCTATCCTCCCCTCCTCCTAGAGCTTAAGTGGTTCTTTGGACATGTGGCTTGCCTCCATGCCTGAGAATCACCTCGGAAAGGTAGGGTGAGATCTGCGAGTGCCGGCACTGTAAGAAAATTTTTCACTTCCACCTTGCTAGTGGTTTTCGTGATGGAGTCTCCTCGTTCATGATGGATCGGGTGATACCTTCATTATAAATCTCCTTGTACCGCAAAACCTCGAGTGCCCCGGGCCTTTCCTTTCCGAGGGCCTGGGTCAAAGGGTCAGATGTCGGGAATCTCGACACACCTTCTGGTATAGAAGGCATCACCCTGTCGGGAATCCCGGCACACCTGTGTATCACTTTCGTTTACAACGGACTCGAAAATGAGTGCAACGACATAATAAAACAATACCTAGTGTGGAAGAGAAGAACGGAATGTGCAAAAGCCTAGTAAAATCACCAGATTTTGCAGGATTTTCGGAGTGCGCTTAGAGAAGGTAGCCACTGCGAGTAAACTACCACAGCAAATATGGCTGTTCCAAGCCATGTTAACAATATTAGTACTACCATCTGAGAATACTTGTCTACCCGTGCCTAGGGGACTACACACTCGGCTTTCGTGCCGAAAATAGTTCTTGCCGAACTTCAACGCCTTCGAGACGGCACGAATTTCGTATGTGCACGTTTTTCATGCGCGTGCATCAAGGACTTGGGATTAATTTGCGTCGTGAGAAAGGAAGTAGAACCAGGATTTCATACAGATTATTAATTTCATTCATTCTCTTGTCACCGTGATGCGAAGCAAGAGTTGTACCTGTCGCTCGGGGGGCACCTGTCGCTCGGGGGGCACCTGTCGCTCGGGGGGCCCCTGTCGCTCGGGCACTTGTCGCTCGGTGTGTCAGTAGTCCAGATACACGGCCCAGTAGATGAGATTGAGGATCAGGAACGTCAGTGGAAAAAAATACCTAGAGAGAAGAGAATTCGTCCTCTGTTTCGTCTTCGTCGCATTTCCGATCGATCCTCATAAATCAAGGGAGAAGAGCAGTGCTGTTAGCCAGGGATGCACGCGCGGAACTAATACGATGGAAGGTGCTCGTTAGAGCCTCTTCAGAAGCACTCGGGGAGGGGGAGGGGGGGGCGGCGAAAAGGGGATTGAAAAAAGGAGTGACAAGATCATCCGAAATCGATGATGTCAGCTTTTCACCCCGATCTCTCGAGTTTTTCGTGACGTCAGAGGCCGTATAATGCGGAATCAGCATTGCCGAAGAAAGGGATGAGGCGCTCGTCGCCGAAGATCTATTTTTGGCATTTAGGGAAACGTGGTTTTTTTTTTGGCGATGGGTGATTTATTTCACGCGGTTCGTCTGGTCTCTTGATGGGTTCTTTTCACGCGATTCCTGCATTTGCGAAAATACTTGAGACCGTTTTCCATCCATCATGTCTGCAAAAAAAATTTTTCCCGACTATTTTTTTGTTCGGCTTTTTTCTTGCAGCCTCTCTGACGGAGACAAAGCGCCAAATCAGGTTCGAAGCCTCATTTTAAGTCTTAAGAACATTTTTTCCTCGCGCGACGTCATCCGTGACGTCAGCAGCAAAGAGGAAATGAGATTCCTTTTTTTGTCTCCGGGGAAATAACGAAGATATTTACAAGTGCAGAATTCCTTTTGACCCACTTCCCCCCTCCGAAAAAATTGGCTCACGCTTCCGCGGAGTGAAATTCATCGGCTGCGTAATGTTTCATGGAAAATTGCTCATGAATCCATCTCTTTTTTTTTTTTGCTCTCTCTTTTGCGCTTTATTCGAGGGTTTTCGAGTGCAGCCCGCTATTTCTTGTACTGTGATACCACTAATAAAAAAGTGCAAAAAATAAAAAATGATAAAATTTCCCTATTTCTCGGAGTGATCGCCGAAGATAACTGAAACATGAAAATATTTAGGCTGGCCTTGAAGGTTAAAATTTGCACTTGGTTCCATGCAGAATTTTTGCGTTCCCGTTTATCGAAAACTTAATCTTTCACAAATTTCAGCGGATTTCGCTTTTGGCTTCACACTCCGCTAAAAATGTATACGCATGTGTTCTAACCGGGAGAATCTGTCGACGTTGATGGCCCTCCGCCTGCGTAGCGCTGCCAAGCCGGACGGGGCCTGGGACGGGACCAGGGAAGGGGCCATAGACGGGGATAGAGACGGGGCCGGAGACGCGAGCTGGTGGGCGCGGAACGAGCCCTGGTGCTGCGGGAAGTGCTCGTCATCTTGGATGTGGCGGTGGTGGAGGTGGAGGTGGTGATGATGGTGGTGGTGGTGCTGCGGGAGGCGACCGGATCTGCCCGGGGTGGGAGGGGGAGGGGCGGGGAGGGGCATGCCCGAGTCCTCATCAGTCTCGCGCTGGAGAGGAAATTCTCATTATTGGAAGAATGAAGGAATAACGTTTTTTTTTTAATCCTGCAATCGAGTAAGGGAAGACACGCAACAAGGTTTCGGATCTGAGTAGCACTGTAATGAGTGATGAGAAAGGTGTTTCAAGAGAGAAATTTTGGAACTCGTGGTGAGATGGCGAAATGAAAAAGTATAATTCGTTGAGTCGGGAGAAAAATTCAAGGGAGAAAGATCGCGGCGGATCTCTATGCGGATCTCCACCACGACCGCGTTCAGACTCGAAAAAACAAAGGCAGAAGCCGTCACAAACCTGATGGACCGAGTTGTGGAGCCGCATGGACCAGCCGGACTTGAAACAGCCGCGCTGCAGTGGCGGAGGCGAGCCGGACTGGAGGGCCCGCGACGAGTCGCTTCCGTCGCCCAGCAGCACGTTCACCAGCGCGTATTCCATAAGGGCGAGGAACACGAACCTAAGATTTTCATTTCATATTAATTTCATTTTTCATTTCATTTTTCATTTCGTTTTTCATTTCGTTTTTCATTTCATTTTTCATTTCATTTTCATTTCATTTTTCTTTTCATCTTTGTTTCAATTCCTGAGGGCGAAATGGCTTTTGGGTTGCCAGAGGGTGATTCGCGAGTGAATGGTTGAACCACTTCGCACAATCTCTGTCTCATCTGCAACGTGCCTCATCTACCATCTATGGTTTTGTGTATCGTGACGAAACTATGGTCGTTCTCACGATGTTTCAGTGACAAGTGGATTCCGAAATTATCGCTTCGACGCCCACGATGCTATTTTCGAGTCTCGTCAGAGAAAAAGTCACTGCAGTTTTCGCCGATGAATTGAGGTTTCAAAGCGCAAACGAAGAATATTCGAAGATAATTCGGGAAAATCCAAACAATTTTCAAGCATGCACCAAAAACTCATGAATCACCCCGCACGAAGCAGATCGCGTTTCCTCCCTTTCCTACGACTAAAACAGATTCATCTCTCCCGATAATTATTCACGCGGTGATCCCCTTCCCACGCTCCTCAATCCCGCGATGGCATCCCCATACCAAAGTGGGTGTCCTTCTGGATAAAGCCGGAGGCAGCGCCCGCCCGCGTGACCTTGGGCGTGACATCCCTCCTGACCCTGTCGACCCAGCACGCGAAGTCCCAGGCCTCCCTCCCCCCGGTCTCGTACATCAAGGCCATCGACATCTTCATGTCCGCCTGCACCGTGTAAGCACCGTAACGATGACGTAACGATGCTTTTCATGTTTGCGCTTGAACGATTTTTTTCTATTATATATATATTTGCCCTTCCCAAGCAGTTCTCACAAAAGTCTCACAAAAGGTGCGAAATTTCTTTAATTACCTTTTCTTCACAAAAAATTAGGGCCGCATCGGAAGAGGAATTCATGCTTTGCCTTTTATCTAGATCGATGGGATCACTTGCGGGACGAAGACTCACCGACATGATGACGATGAGGCAGGTGGGGATGTAAGTGTGGAATACGTAATATCCCAGTCGTCGTTTCAGGGTGAAGACCACCTCCAAGCACGTGAAGTTCCCTGCGAGACAGAATCCATCGTATGGAACAGAATCGATCTCGAGGAAACAGGATCGATCGCGTGGAATAGAAGCAGAGGCATATTAAGTAAAGGCATTCGGAAGCCTTCACGGCGACTCGAGCATATTTTAGTCTTCATTGAGGCCAGATAGAAATTTTGAAGGCCTTGCAAAATGCGACGACGATAAGTCACTCCAAAGCGTCTCTTATAGCTTGTCGATGACCACTTGTCCCCTCCTCTAAAACTGCAATTCTTGCAAGTTTTGTGAACTGCGAGTTAAATTTCGCTGATCTCTGGCAAAGACTTCGGTTCCGTTTAGATTGCAAAGAAATTAGAGCCTTGGAGCAATCTCGGAATTGCAGCAGTCCAGATTCGGGGCCCTGTATCCACGAATGCGTCTCGTTCGATATAAGGCATTTTTTGCAGATTATTTGGCACGGACGGGGATTGTTTTTTTTTCCCTCACGAGGAGATACGTGTAAACTTTCCTCAAGAGCTCTCCTACGTACGTACAATTTGATGAACGCTTCAGATCAGCCGCGTTGAAGTGCTTTTTTGGCCAAGTTTACCTTAGTCATTACGGTTAAATAATTTGTGTGGAAGCGAGCCCTTGCGAGACGGGAAAATATTAGTCTCGAGGCCACAAAAAAACCGTGTTGTATCCGCTTCCTCGTGGCCCCTAAAGGCCGAGCCGATTCACGCGACGGTAATGAAGAACTCAAGCGAAATCCCGTTTCCCCCGGTTTAATTAGAAATACGCGTACCGGAAATTCCAGCAGCGGTGTAGACAATTAAATCTCTCCGAGAGAAACCATAAGCTCCAGAAGTGTTAGAGGAATTAAAATTAAAATCAGAGGAGTGATTAAAATTAGAGGAATTAAAATTTAAATTCCTGAGCACTCGAAAGGCAAACGAAGAGCCTTGATGCATTCCGTCATTATGCGAAAAACTTTCCTATTAATAACTTGAGATTAATTGTCGATTCCACCCGTTATTTCTCACAGTGGAATCTTTGCATTAATTTTTTTTGCAAATACTTACAATATTTGCAAATATTTGCAAATATTTACTCATTTTCGCAATCCCTCTCTGTCCTGCCTACCTGTCTCCCGGAATATTTTACCGAAAAAAAAATTCCAATTGAGAAAAAAATACATACCGGTTTATTTTATTCTTTATCCAGGAGAATAAATTCACCGGTATATATGTTCAGGATATTTTTTTCCCCCGTGGATTTCGCTCGCCCACTGATTTAGTCTCTCCCTGCCCGTTTCGATGGGCGTTGAACTTGAAAATTCGATTTATTTATTTAGTTTCTATTTTCCTTTGGCGTCACTTGACACCCTGACGCTATTCCCGTTATGGTTGAAGGTCTAAGATTGAAGGTCTAAGGACTTCGAACAGATGGAAACTCCAGTTTTAAAATGTGCAAAAAAAGGTATAGAAATAGACAAAAATAATAAAAGCGAACGAATTGAAATG